TTATCATCAGGGCCCCAACGAGTATTCCATTTGCTCTCACGCCGTTGATCATAACTAATATCCCTGTTACCTGTATCAGTCCACCGTTCGGAGGGAGCACGACGTGCTTCTCCAAAGTGTTTGGTAGCTGAGCTATCCACCCATCTTTCCACCTTCCGCATGTCAGTAAATTCTTTATCTCCATCCCTCCAGCGATCCTTACGAATTGACGAATGAGTGTCTCTTTCTTCATCACGCCAGCGATCACGACGGCCAGTTTCCATATCAAGTAAGGATGGCCTGAGAACATCCTTCTTCTTCTGGACGTCATGCATCTCCTCACCATTTCCTGATGACTTCATGAAATCTGAGCGACTACCATGAGATGAATAGGGACTCACATGGCCTTCCTGCACAAATGACCCAATAAAAATATACTTTTAGAGGGAAGAGGAGGAGAAAAACATAACGTAGAAAGAAGGATTATAAACTATTTCTTGGGAATATTTTACCACAGAACACTAAGCAAACTCAATAAACAAAACATGCATCCTCATTGTAGGACAGTAAATGTATTGCAACAAACTGTTTGCATATAATGTAGAATGAAAGTTTACAAACTCCTGGGAAAAATTTACAATAGAACACAAAGCATATTCAATAAATGAAATATCACTCTTTGTGGTAAGACAGTAAACATATTGCAACAACTTGCTTGTATGTAAACGAGCAAAGCTAAAAGAATAACGCACCCCAGACCCTATTCCTAGTTTACTCTCCCCCGGCTTTGAAAGTAGCCATTGTGGTGAGAGTGGAATAGGATTGTCAGATCCTTGCGCATCTGCAAAATATCAAATGGAAACATTAAAAATTGATCATTCCTATTTACCAAATAAAAGAATCGCAAGCTCACAAGTGTTGCCATTGCATTAAATGATGATCCATGACTGAATTACCAAAAAAAGAACCATCAAAAATTCAAATCATCACGGCTCAACAGCACACAAAATTTAGTTGCCAATTCTTAAAAGAAAATACAGCATTTTATTTCAAAACAAAAGAAAATACAAAAGGAGCAAGAGATTGATGAATACCAGTAACATAAGTAGGCATGTTATCCTTTACTTAGAGAACTAATAGGCTAGATTTACTTTAAGATGAGAAAGGCCACACTTTTAATCAATTAACATTTTGCTAAAATATGTAACTTATTTGACAGGTATACAACTATAGTTGAATGATATTTTTAACCAAAAAAGATGAAGCCAGTCCATTAACCTGCAGAGAGCAATCAATCAAATTTTTAACTTAAAACCATTAACATTATCCAATCTGCAAAAGAACAAAGATTGGTGGTTTCACATTGCCACTGTTTACTCCAAAAACGTTCTTAGCTCTAGAAATACCAAGTTGAGACCTTGCCCTTGACTAAGTTTATCATTTCCAGGAAACATGTCTAATATTGAAAAGATGCGCTGGTAATGCAAATAAAATCCTTGTTTCAAAATGATAAACTTATGCACAGAGGGGCCCACCAACCAAAGCTACGGATCATTCTAAAACAATAGCTAATATAATGAGTTTGGTTCGGTGGTATTAAAAAATATACTTCCCAGTCTGAGTAACATCGTTTGCAATAAAATTGAGATGTGCATCACCACCAAAAAGCATCTAAAAATGTAATTTCTAGACTGTATAAAATGCGGATACAACTATGGAAACTACGAAAATAAACATAAAATCCATTCTCAATTCACAGCCCGTGCGACACTTTCCAAGTCTTAGACAAGAATAAAGGAAATACTTTCGAAATGTTAACTGATGGCCGCATTTGTAACCAATTCAAAACACATTTGTTTCTTTGCTGGTCTTCGAATAACCAAGTTATGACTGCGAGTAAAGCAGATAAATACACTGAAAATAGCATCTTTATACGATAAACCAAAAACCCTAGCTGTACCAGTGAATAGCCAAAATCCACAGAGTCCAATAGACTACTGATTTATCCAATGGGACTAGTATCGCGCCACAATAAGCTCTAATCCTTCCGATAAGCTAGGGTTTTTAGTAGAAAATATTACCATAGAAGAAATGTGAAGGGTTTATAATCAAATGAGAGATTAAGAATAGAAGAGGAAGGGGAATGAAATACCTTTGGAGATCTGGTGCGGAGAAGTGACAGAGAGGTTGTGGCGAGAATCGGAGCCGGCGGTATTGGCCATGGATGATCGGTGAAAGTTACAGAGGGCAAAAAAGACGGAGCGAGAGCAAGAGAGCCAGGAAAACCCTTTTTCGCTTCTTTGATTGAGAGGGAGCAATTGCGGTGAGGGAAAGAAGGGAATATAGTGGGTGGTAAGATAAATTGAAAGGCTGGGGTGTACGTTAAAAAGATATCATCCAGCGGCGTATCTTAGCAGTAGCCATTGATTTTTCTTCGGACCCTAATCGCTGAAAGACGGGTTCGAAAGTTCGCAAGTAAATCCCAGGGTCACTCTCACAGCGAAAGCGTGGAAACCACGCAGAAATATAATAATTCGCGTGACGTCCACGCGATTCGGTGGTTACCGGTGACGGAACATAAGGGATAATCTGATTTTCCCTCGTCTCTTTCTTTTGTCAATCTTCGAGCTCTGAGGGGGTGCGTAATGCACCGGGGACGGCGTAGGTTAAGGAATTTGTGGGGCTGGTTTCCCTCCTCCTTACCTCTTATGTCTGATAGGGTTTTATTGTGGAAGTTAAAATGTTAAATTGGGAATGTAAAAAATTTGAATTTTCCTTTTTTTTTTTTTAATTAATGTTGTATTATTTTACTATTTATTGATTCAAATATCCTTCTAAAAAAAATATAATAAATATATATTTTCTGCAAGTCTCTCAACGTATTAAATT